TTTCCAAATGAAATTTTTTACCCAAATTTAAAATAAATTTCATTTTTATGAAAAATGTGTGTTCAGTTTATTAAATAATATGTTGATCAGTAGACATTGCATGAAAACCATTAATTCTTAAAAAAAAAAAAATTTTTTTAAAAGGCTGCTTAATTCACAACCTGATGATTATTATATGGACGATTAGTTAAAGATACCAATGATACCACTATTAAAAGCGTCATTACACTTCTAATGTCAATAGGTCATCTATAACTTCTTTTATCGTCATTATCGTCCGTTGTCAAATGTTTTAACCAAAGAATTATCAGTGAAACTTATTGTTAGTAATGTGTTGTAACCTCTAACCTGTCTAAAAGATCGGCAATTGAATGATCCCATTAATGAACATGAACATAAAAAGAGAAAGCTTGCGTCTATATTATAATCATTTGCGGAAAACAAGCGCAAAGTACCAGTTGTGGCTTCTAGCTTGCCTGCTGAAGAAACTATAGAAGATGCTATGAAGATTGATTTTGTTCAAAAAAACCCCTGTTACTGACATTACAACAAAAAAAATTGTTACATAAGCTTCTTCAAGGTAAAGAGAAAAAAAATATTTCTTTCTCCAAAGAAATCGATCATATTTAGAAAGTAATTCATCAAATAATTTACATAAATGTTATTACTGATTATTTATTTTTTTTAACAGATATTTTTTGACATGACATTGAAAAGTTAGTTACACCAATGTTTTTTTACGCGTTTATGCTGCAATCCCAATATTAATATGAACATTTTCCTCTACTCAAAATTTTTTTTAATTGAGAAAAAATAATACATTCAAAATGGTAATTAAAATCAACCTCCAAACTTTTTTTTTGTTATTTTTTCGTAGAGAAATTCCTCTCAGGCCGTTTCAGCGCACGGAACTCAACCTTCTACATTCGGCCACATGAAATAATTGTTCATTGTTATTATACAACGTTATTACAGGAGACCGTTCTGGTAACACAAAATTTTAACCCAGGCAATTGTTGATTGATTGATTGACCAATTAAAATCGCGAATTTAAAAAACATTTAATGTGGGTTGATTCATTTTGTCAACAATCACTTCACGAACAATTGTTTCATTAACAAATGGTTCGAATTTAAGAACCATTAGAAATAGTCTAATAAATTAAATCGTACTACTTGAAAATGTATTTAAAGGGTTGGTTTTCGACTTGGTTGAAGAATAACTCTCTTCTCTTGACCGTATCTCTCGATATAATCAAAATAACCTTAACATAACGAATGTCAAAATGATTGTAAACGCGACCAAATTAAGATACACAATCGAGAGGAAACATGAACGATGTATGAAAAAATCAAATTTATTCAATAAAACAAAATTTACAACTCAAAAAAATTATTTTTTTGCATGTAATAAAATTCCATTACTAACTATTAACAATCTAATTATATAGATATTGACCGATCAAACCTGCCTATAATAAATATTCTAACGAACGTTTTATCTATCATTCAATAGTTTGTGTAGGAATAATCGAAGTAAGTTTTAAGGACAAGATCTATGAAAAAAATGACTAATTCACGAATGGAACCAAAAACTTTGCAACGGCACATTCATTCATTGACTAAATGTGATTTTTATTATTATTTTATTACACGATGACTGTATTTACTTAATCATACACTTTAGTACTAGCATAATTTTTGTTTTGTTGTATATATATAGATAGACTACTTTGTTTGCGACATAAACAATTATTATATATTATTATTATTTTTTTTTTTATTATTGTATGTTATTTATTTTTAGTTATTATCGTTATATTGATTATTTCTTTCTGAAGTTAGTTGATCAAAGAGTTAGACCGCAGCAAACAAAAGAAAAGAAACCCATCCGATAGATGGACATGTAGATAAAAAAATAAAAAAAATAAAATAAAAAAACAAAACCAAAAAAGTAAGGAAAGATCAATTTTTTTAACATCAGATGAACGAATAGTGAAAATAATTTATTATTAGTAATAAATAATATAAATTAATAAATAAAAATGATAAATCATTAACGATATGTAACTAAATCAAAGAAACGTCTCATTTTTTCATCTCATGCTTCCCAAAAAATTGTGTTTAGTAAAATTAATTTTTTTTATCAGCTCAATGCTCACTCGATCTGTTCGATCGTTCGATCGTTCGTTCGCTCATGTATAATGAGCACTCTTCTATTACAACGTCTTATTTCCCGTACCACTGTTTATTTACAAATATAGGCAAACAACAAATTTAATTTAGAAAAAAAAAATCCCAAGTAAGGAAAAAAGCAGTGTTACGGGATTTGAGTAATCTTTTATAAATACTACACAAAACTGCATGTGAGACAAAAAAAAATTTTTTGGGGGAAAAGGGCTGGACATTACATACGGATCCTCATCAAGATGCATAGTTTACTGCATCTTCGTTGCATTCTGTGGTTGAAAATGGGTGAGTATACTCTCTGATAATGGTGGTTGCTTCTTTTTTTTGTATCTTTTTTTGATGACATGTTTTATAAAAAACTAGAGTGGTGGCAATAACCACCACCACCATTCCCACTCATACCATTTGCTCATAATAATCATGAGTTCTGAATTGTGATAATGAGGACAAAGACAAAGAACAATGCAAGTAAGTGTTTTAAGGGTGATGGTTATTGCCACTCGATGTCACTCTAGTTTTGTGTTGATAAATTTATGATCTAATTAAAACTTTGTTTTTTTTTTTTGTATTTACTTAATATTAGTGGTAGTAGTGGTGGTGATGGTGGTAGCTCCAGGGAAGGTGGAAAAGTGATAAAAAAAACTAGAAAAAATGACGAATATTAATTTAATTATAGCGAAAAATTTCAAAATTGGAGAAAACATCTTTTTTAAAAATCTACAAAGATTATTAAGATTCGAAAGATTTCACATATATGAAAATAAATATCTAAGGTTAAAGACTAGTGCCATAATCCCAAAAAGGAAAAGTATGGTTGCAAAAGTGGTTGTAAAGGTAATTGCAACCACTTTTTATATGCCATAAATACAATTACGGCACTAGTCTTTAGTATTAGTTAAGATCAGAGTGCACGGATATTTGGATCAAAAACTTCGAGGGCGAAGAAATGGTATTCATAAAAGCCAAGATCGGGGGAATAAGAAACTTATATTGGGATGGATTGTTCAGTATATACGAAGATGATTATGAAATTAGTATTGATGCTGAGAGAAAAATCATTAGTTTGCCAAACGAAATTATTATGAATATATTAAAATTTTATTTTGAACTTTAAATTTTTTTAAAAAAAAAGTTACATAAAACAACGAACTTGCGAATATCTATAGTAATAGTTGGCACCGTAATTTCTGCTATCTTGGATATCATAATGGTATATATATCACAGTTTATGGTAACCAATGATTTTTTTTCCCGTATATAAAACAACGAAAAATTCTTTACAATTTTAATAGTAGTAGAATTTTTTTTTTGATCAATAATTAATAGATAATAAATATATAATAGGTAATAAATATATAATATAATAAATAGTAAAAAATTATAGTAGTATTTGCTTTATTCTTTTAAAAAAATCCACATTTATTATTAGTTTTTATCTGAATTATGTTTTCTGGATGTAAGCACTTGTAACGTTTTAAATATTTCAAGATCTTCATTAATATATTTGGTAAATTTATAACGAACAAACCTCCCTGCATCTAAACTCGGATGAATTTTATTTTGCTTCCTCCTTTACTAATAATATGTGAAGTGTTGATTTCTGAAATTGTAAATTCTGCCGTAAATGATTTCATAATAATTGATAGTATATTCATAATATTCCTTACAAGTATGTGTAACGAGAACCTCAATACGTTTAGCATCTTCTACTTTTTCATTAATTCCTTCAATTATTTTTTCAACTTCTTTAACAAGGTCCTTTAACTATAATAGAATTATCTAAAATTTGTTGTGTGTTTGATGATCGATCACTTGCACCTAATGATTTAGACAGACAATCCAAGTTTTACTGAAACAGGTGAATATGCACCGATAACACCACCATTACTGCCGTCATTATAAATAATTGTATTCAAAGTACTTCTTTTAGGTCCAATAATATGCCAATGATGCTTGACAGGAACAGTTAATGTTTGAACAGAAAAATCTGATGACAAATCATGTTGTACTTTTAACAATTTATTCTTCACTTTTTACATTATTTCCATGATATGAAGTTCTTTTTTCTGTCACCTTTTCTGCCCTCAAAACTATTAACATTTCATGGTTGGCTTCTTTCTAATCAGGGACTATTATTTCAACAACATTGACTCGTTGTAAATTTTGTCCTTGTGACCAGATGAAATTGTTGAATAGTCTATTTTTTCTTTAAAATTGTTAGTTATTATTAATAAGTTCATTTAACTCACCAAATTTTTGATTATTTCAGGTACTTAATTTACCCAAAACTTCATAACCAAATTCTTCATTTCCGGTTGTTGTTGTCATTAGTCATTTTTTTAAATGGGGGTTTTGTTACAATGATTGATTGATAATGAATTATCAAAAGAAATAACTTCATGATCAACATTTTGAGTTGGTCAGCTTTGTTGCATTTGTTGTTGAAGCATTTGCTGATTTAGATTATTTAATTGTTGCCGCATATAAATTTGTTGTTGACCGAAATTTGTAGATTTGGTTGCATGTGATGTTGAAATGGTCAGTCATAATTTTGTTGGAGTTGTTGACTGAGATTTTGCATTCGTTTCTGTTGATGATGCTGCTGCAATCCTTGGAGTGACAATTTGTGCACCAGTTTCCAATTCAATTTTCTTCAACTTGCCTCTATTCCATAAATATTTCAGAACATTAACAGAATGTTTCTTCAGATTTTCTGTCTGGTGAAGATCAGTAATATCAAGTAGTTGAACATACATAGGGTTTGCTTTTTTGATCACAGTTTGTAAGGCACCTGCTAATTGATTTTGTGTATCAATTTCACTGATTGATCAGTTGCTGGTGGTAATTATAGTACACAACTTATTGTTTCAAGTATTTCTTGAAGATTAATAAAACGTTTGGATCTCAAGATTCTTTTTAAAAATCTTGGCTACAATTAAATTAATGTTTTCTTGTTCAACGGCATTATTTAGTTTTGTCTCTTCCTCTTTATTGTCTTTTTTTTATGAACTTCTTATCCTCAAAGCTACTCCTACTATTCTTTATTTATATTATTATTAAACATTTGCTTCCGTGAATTGAAAATCAAGTAAGTGTTGAATGTTTGTTGCTTATATTATTAATATACATAAATATATATACAAGTTGAATACTTGTTGCTTATATTATAATATATATGTGTAAATATTTATTGTTGTAGTAATGTTGTATAATTAATTGAAATCCAGTAAATGTTGAATGTTTTGTCTATATATATTTTTTTATTTTTATTTTTATTTTATTTTTAATATTATATTATTGATTGAACAAGTTTTCCGACTTGATGAAATTTATATGAATTTGCAATTCACATAAGTTTTAATTTCACATAGAACAGTTCTATGAATTGTTAAATATAAAGACATAAATATAAATCAAAAGTTTGTATTTTTTTTTTTTATTACTATTAAAAAACGACAAAATTCTTCACATTTATAATTTTATTTTCCATTTTCTCATACACATACACACCATTATCCATTTCTGTCGCTTCTTTCACAAAACTATTAGCTGATTATTTCAAAGTTCCACGCGAGAAATTCTTTAAAGAAGATTACCTAGACCTAACAAAAGATTCAGAACTAACAAATTCCACCGAAAGAGCTAAAGGTGTAATTTTAATACTGGAATAAAATATTCAAATTGAACAACTTGAACGACATTGGAGCAATAAATATAACTATACATATGTATTTCTAAATGATGATGATTTCACAGAAATCATCCGAGGAACATCTTCAATGATGTCAAAATCAACGGCCCAATACGGTAGAATACCAAATGAGAATTGAAGTTATACTGAATGGATAAATCAAACAAAGGCATCAGAGAATAGAGAATTGCCAGCACAAAAACATATAATTTACAGGGTTCAGAATCATATAGACATATGTGTAGATTTAATTCTAGATTTTTCTTTAGACATGAGTTGCTAAAGGGTTATAATTATTATTGGAGAGTCGGGCCCAGGACTGGAAATAGTACTTTAAAAATCCGGATTTTCCTTTTAAAATTTTTAACTTCTGGAAAAAAAAGGAGTTGCCAGATATTTTTCCTTTTTATTTTTTTTTTTGTAGATTTTCTATATGCATAAAAAAAAATTACCAAAATTTAATATATATATATATATATGTCATTACTTCAATGTTTTAAAAAAGAACAACCAGAATCACAATTTAATTTTCAGAAGAAAAGTATTGACTCAATTAATATCTATTTCAAAATATATATTTGCATGTTTTATTTTCCCTT